CTAATACAGTAATATATTATCTCTATCTGTTATAAATGCTACTTAATACTTTAATAATTACCTAACCAATTTTGTATATTGTTTGTGTTCAACGGTGGGGTTATTTAGTGTTGAACAGTTAATGGGAAGTATAAATAACTAAATGAAGTTCGTTGATAACGTTTTTAAAGTTGCACAAGTATTGTGCAAATTATTTCAATGGAAATGGGAAACTAATGGATTAATTCCATCCAACAGGGCAAGGTGAGAAACAACGACGGTTGCCTTTAATATTTTTAAATAAACGTAAAAGAGCTGGCGAAATTGATCAAAATTATTGATAGGGAGTAAAACGAGAGATCGCTGCGACAGCATCCTAAGAAATTATTCTTAAATTGGAAATAAATTTCTCCCTCGGTCTAAGTTTTCTAATTTTTGGGTGGTAGTTATTAAGGGATGTTTACGTTCATTTAGCCGTTCGGTAATCGTAAATGAAAAAAATTGTGAACTGGGAAACCCGCTTATGTTGACATGAGAGGGTAAAAATTTTTGATATTAAAATTTTTTTTATAAATCGCGTCCCTGTTTTCTCAGCTGATCCCTAAAACTGTTCAAGAATTCCATATATTTCAACAGTTCTATTCCAAGCCAACGGAAGATGTGGCCTTATTTAAAAACATGTTACAAAAATGGCATATATTCTCTACTTATTGACTAAAATTAGAGATGAACCTGTAAATTTAAAGTTATATTTTCAATTTTTTAAAATACATATTTTAACACGTCGAGTGCAGCACGATCACCAGCGCTAACAGATGGCCTAAAAACGGCCAAGTCCGCGTCTAAAAAAGCCTATAATTCAAAATATACTAGTACATTAGTAGGTTCCGGTGCAACAAAATAAATTATCATCTTTTTCGTACATTATAAAATTAAATGAGGTAGTACTGCCATCAGAAATATTTGTCCACAATCGCAATTGGGAAAAATTAAATTGCGGAATTTGCCCGAAAAAATCCCCTGCAACCAACCGGTAGCGGGCGTTAGGACGTGCCGCATTCAACGTGTTAATTAAAGCCAGAAACTTTCCCGAATCGAACTTAGCTAATTAAACTACGCTGCCATACAAAAAAGAAACCTAATCGAAAAGAACCACACAAGTAGTGAAAAAATTTGCATGTTGGAATTTCCGATACTGCACTGGACATAAATTTCCCCATTTACTTGAACAACGGAAGCCAAAGGAGAATGATAAAGCCATACTAGCGTCAGATAACTTAGGAAAATGTGGAAGGCACGAAAAGAGACAACTCATGATTAGTTGCTTTAATCAACTAATGTCGGAATTTACACATCTTTTCATAGGTATATCTAGAAAATACTGGACCTCAGACGAACAGAAACATATATTTTCATTAGAAAAAATCGAAGCTTAGTGGGCACTAAACGGAATTAGTGGATAAATGAACCTACATCGTGCTTAACACAAATTATCAAACCATAAACGCACGATTTCATTGTTGTAAAGTCGCAATAAATTATCGGTTGAATAAACATAACAGACGTTACATAGTACTTTCGTTTACTGTTATTTCGTAGGCGCAGATCATAGCATAGTCAGCCTTGCATGCTTTTCGTTTTCTCAAAGAAAATTTATAGAAAACTTGTACCTAAGTAAGACTCCTACGTTGATTAAACTTTAATTTTAAGGTTGTTTTGAGACTTCCAAAGTCCAAACCTTCTTGGAAAAGCAGGCGTTCAGAAAAAAAGGTATGTAATTATGGACACTAGAATGAAATACCCATAATTCAATAGAGCAGAAATTCGACAATCTCAAATCATCTCTAACTTTTACAAAAAATGGATTAATAAACATTGATTGAACAGGCAGAAATCTAAAACAAACATCTAACGCAGGCCACGTAGTGAACTTTTTACAGATTTGTGTTTTGTTCAATAACTTAGGACAATGAACCCCAGTCCAGCAGGTTTAACTTATTTGGGCAATCAAGCTGCCTGATATCTAATGTAATTGCTTTGGATTGACAATCCACGATATTGCAAGAGGTTGTTTTTCACTGTAAGAGGTTGCTTTTCTTATGCACCAGAAGAGTTTTTTTTCTTATATGTATAATAATTATATGAAAGACCTGAGGTTAGTTCGGGTTTAGTTTGTGATCAGAGGATAAATGAGGCACAGAGCAAAGAACAACAGAGTACTTTTTTATAGAATAACACAGCTTACAGTTTATGGGATTACAGATAGAAGTGAGTTTAACACATACAGTGGGGGGAAATAAATATTCGTACACTTGAAAAATCGTATTTTAATGTATGTAAGTACACAAAGTGAACAGGAGAAGTGATTTATATTATGTATAGAGGCGCATTGTATTCAAAAATAGCATCAATAGAAATTAAATCTCAATTCAACAAAAATTAATGCAACATGTTAACTTCTTCGGGTCAAAAAAGTATTCGTACAAAACAACTTTTGACTAATATTTCACACCATAACATTCCAGAGATTTTTCAAGTGTACGAATATTTATTTCCCCCCACTGTATGTCTACGCTCACAACTTGAAGGGGAGTGAGTCGAAGAACCAATACTCAGCAGTTCTCGGTCTTGACTGACGCTTCTCGTTCTGTCGGATATAGCTATATCCCGTTCAGTGAGTGACGTCGTTACTGAGATGGACAAAAGAATGAACCTATCTAATTTCGGATGACAGCTATCAATGGGCGGAACAGCTCATTGATGACAGCTATCTGGCAATTGATGGCAGCTATCTATGACAGCTCTATAATATCATTGGCTTTTTCGGTTTTTAATCTCGTCTTAAAGCTGACAATCTGACCTATCCACAGGTACCAAAACCATCTCTGTACGTACGTTGATTTATGCGTTCACGACAGATCGCGAAATGGTTAGGGGTGGTGGAGTTCTTCAACATTTAACATAGGGAACAATTGCCCGCAGTACACTTAAATAGCTAGTCTGAACTCTGAACTTAGCTACGCTTTAGTAACCCAGCTGCAGTCGTGTGGGATGGTTCTCGTGCAGTCGTTTGCACCATCCTTGACAGAAATTGAGTTCCAGTATACTCTAATCTTGCATCCTTGCCACCTTGAACGCCGATTTCGAGGCGCCCGGGACTTTGTCGCGCTCTACTGAACATTCACACTTATTGTCACTGCAAACTTATCTCCTCCTAGAGTTTTAAGCTACAGCGATGCGAGATATACCATTCGATTCGCAAATAAAAGATCTAAAGATTATTCATAAATTTTTTCTAATTTCTTTATAGTTTGGATTCTATGTAGAAAAAAGGAGGGGGGCGTGGGGTGACAATCGAGTAATTTTCAAAAAATTTACGAAAAATGCCCCTCCAGTCACAAAAATTGGAATTTTGAAAAACTGAATGAACAACCGATAGATATAGTCTTTACGCATCGAATGATAAGCGCCTCGATGTTGTAGCTTGAAAATCCTAGGAGGAGATAAATTTTTACAGTACCCCCTTTTTTGGTCGTTTTCTAAGAATTTCACGTTTTCTTGCATTTTTTTCGAAAAATTGATATGAATAAAAGCTGTCTATTTACACATGTGTACCAAGTTTCAAAGTGAACCGTCCGTAAATAGCCGAGATAAAATTTTGGCCAGACGCTCCCCCTTAAACTGGTAAAATTTTTATTCCTGATATGATATCCGATCGTCAGGTTTTATTATTCGCTAGTTAACAAAATTTATTCTACGGAATACATGATGCAGTAGTAGTAAAGTGAATAGAAACGTCATACAGTATTTGGTAGAAAGAATTTAAATCCATTCATACAATATTTTTTTTTTTTGAGATTCACTATCATGAATAACAAATAATCGTCAAACATGGTGATCAGTTAGCATATTCTACGGAGAATTAAGAGGATAAAAGCAAACAAAATTCAAGATATTGGCGAGTCCTCAAGGCCTTTATTGAGGATGGAACACCTCCTTTAAGGGGACCGGCTACCCTAAAATTTTCAATTGTGGCGTTTTTCGATTTTTGTGCTCATCTGAAAGCTGGAATTCTGCTCTTTCCAATGGTACCACTGCCATCGCTGTACGCCAATATTTACGTTCATGACGTCTCTTTAAAGGAAAGCGGGTGAGAGAGTTCTTTAAGTAATTAGATATAAACTAATTAGCTGCTGAAATCTTTGAATAAAGTTTATACTTGAGTTGTGCTGCAGTTACATGCTTAGTCTCATCTTAAAGCTGACATTCTGAGCTTTCCAACGATACTACTGCGATCCATGTACGGCAATATTGACGCAGATGGCCGGGCTTTAATGGGGGGCGGGGGGTGGAGTTCCTTCACTAAATAGACCTAATAAAATTAGAGCGGCAAGACCACATATCTTGGTGTATCTGGCATCTGTGCTCAGTTACCCTCCTAACATTGTACGTAGAGGTGCGCTACAAGTTGCTGCTAGCATCCTTGAGTGGATTAAGCTACAGAAGCCTGTAGTTTGGTATCCATTCTACATTGAGTGCCTATTTCGAGGCGCATGGGACTTTGTCGCGCCGTCCTGAAAAGTTTGAAAAGTTCAACTTAGAAAAGTGATCATCAAATTTTTAGGTATGGTCCTTACGAACCGAATGATACGTTTCTCGATGTTGTAGGATGATATTTGTAGGAGGAGATAGATTTTCTAAAGTACCCCTTTTTAGCCGTTTTCTATGAATTTGACGTTTTCTATCAATTTTTTTGAAAAATTCATAGAAGCAAAATGTTCTTATTTTCACATTTTATGTATGTATGTGAAGTTTCATGATGATCGGATAATAACTGTAGAAGTTTTTCCGGAGGGTAGCCGGTCCCCTTAACTAAGCTAGAACATAATGCTGAAAATGTCATTTTTATTATTAAATTATTGTTACATATTATAATAATTATTTTATTATTTTTAATTAAACTTAAATTATTATTATTTTATTAAATGTATTAAATCCTAATAATATTATTATTATTATGTTATTTTTTTATTATAATTATTATTATTATTATTAAAAATTATTAAACCGCAGATCTGCACAGAAAAAACAAAAAGGGAGAAAGTTAAGGTTCGTGAAACACTTAATTTTCCAACGGTCATTTTTCTTAACGTGGGATGAAAAAGTTGTACTGTCCTGTGATGGGCGCACCTACTAGCTGAGGGCTCTGGTGAGAGTCGTGCAGTTCCCTATTGCCAAAGTTCTCAAAATAGTGAGCAAAATATGGAATACCTCCAACTTCTTGAACATAAACTGTAGCGACAGGACTTGTTTGCATTGAATTATGCACCATAGCCGACGGTTGAAGAGCGTAACGTGACCACGAGTAAGTAGGAACTGGGTAGGTAGCGAAGACAGGTTCGAAGTTGTACAACACAGTTGGAGGTGGGGATGGCAAGGCGGAATAAAATGTGAGGTTAGATGTTGCATTTTTCCAAGCACCCAATAGAGAACCACAATAATCTGGTTTTTTGAAAAGGTTGAACAAGCAATTGATTGCTCCCAAAATAACAAAGACTTTTATTGCTCCTGGAGATGGATTAAAGTTAATAATATCTTGCCGTCCCAACCTCAAGTCAGGGTATGCGTACATCGTGTCCAGGATTACCGGATTCAAACTGGTCGCAGCTTCAACACCAGAACGATGCAGCATCGTGGAGATCAGAAGATGCCTTCGCTCTGTAAAATAAGTGTAGCAGGTATTTAAAAGAAAAAACAGCAAATTCACCGTGTCCCCATTGAAAACGTTTCGAAAACCAGCTCCAAAAGTTCAAAAAGATTTACAGAATATCCCGGAACAAACGCCGGAATAATCATCATTAATGATTTGTATTCTATAGAATTTTTTGAACTGAAGATGGAGCAGGTCTCCGAAACGCTTTCAAAGCAGATTTAGTAAACTTTCTTGGCGTTTTCATGCTTTTCATTTTTTGGTGAACTTGTAATATAAGCAGACTAACAATTTTAGTGCGGTATAAGAGCTAAATACGGCGAATGCAGCAATAGAAATAACAAAGAAATGTACTGCACTATACCATTATAAATTTGATATAAATTGTTTTTCATATTATTTCAGTTGAAATCATCACGGTGCCTGATTGTTATTACTGTGAAATGATTTACTAAAAAATCCATAAATCATTTGTGAGTGATACTTACCGTAAATTACAAGACCTGCCCTGGCGCACGACGACAGTTCAATGATTCCTTCCTCGGCTCTCACGACACTGAGCTTAACGGTGCCCGACTCTGCACTGCCAAAAGCTGCATGGGGTGATAAGCATCAAAATTAGTTTTCAGCGTTATGTTAAACCATCCAAGTTGCTTATAAAATATCTCTCTACTTTTGCAACGTTAAATCTTCAACTTTCCGTTACTATTTTTTCCAAAGTATCTAGCTTTCACCGATTTCTTCCTCATCCCAAACTTGCCTATTTCCTGAAAGCTAGAAACTATCACTGACACGCATCAAAATATTAGGTTTGCTACTCCTTATTTATTAATATATATGTATTTGTGTGCTTAATTCTTTCATTTACCTAACTTTGTCAATGTTACTTGTAGGATCAACCCTTTAATTATTGTAAATAGTCAGCTACTAACTACAGCATTCCGCACTGACAGCCTGCGAAGTTTCGCCATTCATTTCCGTTCATATGAATAATTATTAATTACGGTATTCATCGCTTCTGAGACCATGATATATTACTCAAGTACATTATTAATCGTATGCCAGCCGCATTTTGAACGTAAACCCCAAAGCTATCAAAAAGGACGAATTCTGCAATTGGAATATGTATAAATTGACCTATTTCATTATCTATTTGTCATACTGTTTGAAGCAATTTCGAATCCTTGCATAACTACGAAACAGCAAAGCATGCGATTATGAACAAACAGCGTGCGAATATGGACTGTTCCTTACGAATCTGCATACTATAAAGAATAATTTTTCCATGGATGAAGAATCGCGCATCATTTATTCAACAACATTGGAACATTTTTTTGAGGCATTTTCATCCCGATGACCTTATAACTTCAGTTTTTTTAACAAGATTCCTTGTAGTTCTCAAATCCAAATAGATTAAAACATCCTCCAATTCGCTAATAAAGGCTAAATCATTCACACGCGTCACTATTTACTAATCCAGAGAAGGCAAGTTACATACCTCCAGCGGGGAGGGAGTGCAGCGTTATGGTGGCTGGGGCAGAGACAGCGTGAGCCTGCGCGCGGTACTCTCCTGTGTGCTGAGCAGGCCGCCCAGCCCTTTGGATATAGAAGTTTCGTGAGCCATAGTGCGAATTGTACGAAAACTCTATTTTCTATCACGGTATTTTAAATGAGAAATTTTAGGGCTTAAATCTTTATTTTCGTTAATTTATATATCTTGTTCTTCCTTCGTGATAATTTTTTAATCTGGGCTCAATTACATCAGTGAGTGCTAACTCATCTATCAAATAAACCTGAGTTAACATTGCAGTAAATCAATCAGTTTTTGACATTGCAAAAATTGCACGCCCCTTCAATTTTATAACAAGTAATATTTCACATAAATCCAAACAAATTTCAAATTTTAGAATGATCATCCAAAGCAATGAAAATTAATTCAGACATTTATTTCTCGGACACCATTGAATGAGAACACATCGAATTTCAATCCGTCGTCAATGATAAAGAATATTAGTTACCATCGCCCTCAACTCATTTCATTTTCATGCCTGTCCGACAGTTTATTGATCATTCACAAACTTGCTTTTTAGCTCATTGAAGACAGACGTTCAACTGCACGAAATTAAAAATGGCAGGTCATGCATGAAATAAATTAGTTGACTCAATACTGTGGCAATTGCAGGCAGCTCAGGGACTCACTGGTCGATATATGACAGGAGGTAAGTCCCGTTGAGGTAAAACCGTAGCTGGCTGGTGGACGAGGAGTGACCGGCTGGCTGCACTACTGTGTAGTCACCGTCAGTAAGCTGTGAAATGGAATGAATTTAACTGTGAAAAATAATTACGCATTTTTTGTGAGATCTTTCCCAGTTCAGGTACAAGTAATCGAAATCTTAGGACTTATTATTTGTCTGATTTTACTATTCAGCCATGAAGCTTATATTTTATGTACAGCACCTCTTAGGTATCGTTGATTATACTTTCTATGCAGGTATACATGGCATTCAGCCATAATGTTCCAGCCTAAAAAAGTTCAATATTTTACGAAGCAAAGTGCTTTTTTGTTAAAAATACCAAATCGCTCATAGACTCATGCGCACAAGAATGCAGTCTAAATCATCGCTTGGTCGTATACCAAGCTGCAAACAGAAATTATGTATAGAACGAAAAACTTACATAAATCCAGCCATTTAATGCCCAAGTATCTCAAGCTTGAATGAATTGTAACATTGACCCAGTCTCGACCAACTTATTGCAGAGTACTCCAAGGAATGTTGGTAGCAGTGCTAACATAACAATGATTTCGTGAGAAATCGGCAGACGCTGTCAAGGTTTCAGTCTCCAGCAACGCTCAAGATTCATCTGAAGTGATTTTCACTCACCTTACTAATGTAGGCGTCGTTGAAGTTCTCAGTCGTGTTGGGGGCGCTGCAGGGCCCGATTGTGGGGCCCTGGGCCAGCCCCCCCAGAACGAGGCACAGCCCCGTCAATAAACAGCACACACCTGGTAGCTTCATTTTTCTTCAATGAAATTTCAATTATATACAACGGACGTAAAACAACTGAATATTCAGCTTATTATTGTAATAATATCAATCCAACTTTTTGATTCTAGGTTATTTAAATCTGATGGAGGGAATGATGCTCATATTTTTTTTGTGCGCGATGAAATAGCCAATTATGAAAATAATTGTGGCCAATCACACTTCGAGATCAATCAATTCCCCTTTCACTTAGTGCCGTCGCTTGATTTCTTCTACAAAAGATTGGGCACAATCACGCTTTGGATAGTGACGTTTTCACTTTGCTGGTCCATCTACTTAAGTTAACTATCAGCACCGCGAGTAAATCTGCTGCCTCAGTTAGCTGGCCAAGTGGTTAATCACTTGAAACATTGGACTCGTTGTACGTGGAGTCTAGTTTCTCACCCTTCTCGTCAGCATATCATGTTCATTTTCAAAGCTCCTCATCGTCTTTCTCGGCATGCTATGGGTTACCTTAAGATGCCCATATTGACCATCTCATCATCTAATGTGGCACTTTATTTTTACCTGCCAATTTTGAATTTTTACTTGGAAATTTTGTTGCTAGAACCTCCAAGCACAATTTTTTTCAGCTCAATTCTGCCTATCCGCGGTAAAAAAAAATCTTAAGGCTACTCTCAACTCTCATGCGCAAATTTGCAGCACTTCTGCTAGTAGACGGCATCCTGCCAGCTGTATCCTATGAGGGAGTAGCAGGTTTACTCTTCAAGGAATATCCTCACCATACACAGAATCCGTTTGGAAGCAGACGGCTTAGAAAAACCTGCTCAAACGACCCCAACTGTTCAGCACTGGTTCAGCTGCGGTTGGGGCACTCAGCTCCACCTATACTCAGCTGTAGGATGGGAGGCATACCAAGCTATGCATTCATATTGTTATTTAATTAATGGTGGTGACCGCCTGACGTTGTTGTATTATGTCAACGATGTTTTCAAACGCAAAAATGCAATAAAATATTTAAGATATTTTTTTTAACTTTGTCCAAATCGCTTATTGATAAATTATTTACACCGACTAGTGTATTTTAAAAACTACTAAATAAAACTAATTTTTTCTTCGAAATTAAACATTCATAACTACTCTATGAAAATAATTAGAATGTTCATTATTGGGAATAAAGCACTTCCGGGGTATACATGCCATCATTTCCAATTAAATAGTTATGAAGAAATGTCAATTTGTCAGTCTCGCTCTCACTAGTCGATGATAAATTCAAATGATGTACAAAAATATTTCGGCTTTAAGTTCAAATAACGAAAAAAATGTGTTCGCTATAAGTTGAAATGGCTGTAAAAAATGAATTAAAGTCTCGCTTCATGATAATTAAAGTGATACCCACTGTGAACTAAAGACACTGTAATCTTCCATGCGTATCATTTTCTTGAGAACTTAAGCTCATCAACAAGCCTTTGTAATCAACAATACATGAAAATATTAAGTGTTATGTATAAATGTTGGTGAACAAGCAAGCATTACATGTTGGCGCATGAACAAAAGTTAGAATTTATAACCATTAAATGATACATTGGAAATTTTACGCCTTAAATTAAGCTCTCGACAATTAATCGTGAAGATCCATACTAAATCTTTCAATTAAGTGTTACAATCGATAGTATAGAACAATTTTATGATTTAGGTAATTATAATATTGTGACCCAAATGAAAATGTTCCTAATCAGCCATAATCAGGAACTATTTGCTTTATAATAAATTGTTACCGGATAGTCACTCCGTGCTCATTGTCTCTCAATTTGTTGATAAATGCACTGCATGAACCTGACATCATTTAGTTGTTTTAGTTTTAGTCTAATTTCAATTATGAATTATTTAAAGTAATCCGACGAGCATCACACATTTTAAACATATATATAGGCTTCGTTCGGGAAATACGTTTTCTGCCTGCAAGATACTTCTGAACATTTTTAGTTTGCTCTTTGCGAACGTTATTTCAGTGCTGTGTTATCGTCGCGGAAGTTGAGCATTCAAAATTATTTAGAAAAGAAAACTTGTTCGTTTCCCAAGCGAACCGCTCAAGTGGACTGGTGTATCGCAGCCGTCCGCAAAAAAATCAATATTTTACCAGTCGTCATTAATAGGAAATCATAGACGCAAACAATGGAAATTATTTTTACAAGTGATGCGTTTGGATCACAAAGCAAATACAGGGTGCGGCGCGGGAACTTACTTATTTGAATTGCGCGCCACGTGGCGGCCATTAGTCCTAGGAAGGTGGCGCCATGCGCAATATGGATATTGAACAGCATGGAGGTCACCTACAAGATGTAATATTCAAGAATTAAACTTGTAAGTAAACCCAACGAAACTTTAAATGTAGCTCTTTGTAAAAAAGAAAGAATTAAAACGCTATCTTTAATACTTTTTACTTTGTGATTTTTTTAAAAGAGTAAGTTCCCACGCCGCACCCTGTATCTAGTTATTAATGCGTCGAATATGATTGGCCTTACATGCAAGGCATCGTAGTGGAATATATTTTCATGAGAATAAAAATTAATTCTGAATAATTTGTTCACTTATTGTTATAACACTTATCGGTTCAGGCAACTGACTTATTTTTCCCTCTTTTGGCAGGATGTGCACTACATGTCAATATTATATAAATGGAAGACTCGAACCGTGAATGCCATAGCGGTCACAAGTAAGAGAAGCAGCTTAGGGCATTTTTTGCCTACTTCTGTGATGGTAGATAAAAAAGAAGGAACATATAAGAATAAACTTCTTCATTGTGATAAAATTTAAAACCTATATTTCTGCGAAAGTTTTTCCACTTTATATGCTAAGTCTAAAAAGACGAACAGAAATAAAAAAAAATTCCGTGGGTTCATATAAAATGCCATTTATATTTCAAATACAAATTTAGCTGAAATGATATTTATCACGCTAAAAATTTGCAACGACAGAAGAACGATTCAAAAATATAAATAAATCTGAGACTCATATTCAGTTTCGCGGCCTTAAACTTAGTCCGCGTTTCTTCAAACTATTTTCACAGTAATAAAGAAATTGTCAATGATAATGAAATCTTCAGCTCAGGGCGGTTCCAGGCTCACTCATCAGCATCACTTCTCCCTAGAGTTTGTTCCTTGCAAGGCAGGTTTCACTTGCAAGCTAGTGGGAGTGCGCCGGTCGCGAGTATTTATTTTACTGTAGATTGGAAGTCTCGACCCACTTGTCCCAGACGCACTAGAAGAAAAGCTCCTAGAAGGTGAATGTTTTTTCTTCACACTCTTTTCCGGAATTTTTTAGATGTTTGCTTTGAAATTCGGTGCAGGCTTCATAACTTTATTTTCATTATCTGGGAGTTAATCTAGTGAAAAGCCACTTGGGACAGAGGTTTACTTATCATCGTCATCTTCCTTGATATCAATTGGTTACTCTTTCCTTGAGGATTCGTGGTTTTCGGAATATTCAGATGCATAACTATAGCTCATCGGCTAAAATTTCATTTCAGATTTGTCTATGGTGATATCTGAGTCATTCGTCGACTTTGCACGTCTCTTTAATCCGATAATGGCATCGTTGGGTGTGATGACCATATCGCCTTCAGGACACACCACAACCATCCGTTCTCTGCAGCGCTCTCCACTCATCACAGCGACGGCTAACAGAAGCCTATGGTGCTGCAGTAGAGCCAAGAAGACGTCTCGAGCTGTGGTGTCGTGCATCGTTTTCAGGAAAGTGAAGCAAGTCTCGTCATTTTCAGATCCCATGAGCTGAAGTAACGCTTGGAAAGTGTCGGCGCAGTGGTGGGCAGTACTTAGCATTGGAATCGTCATATCGGCACACACAAGCGTTCCTGTGGAGTGAGGAATGTCGCCTTGAAGGTTTTCATCTTGAAGTTTAATAGGCAGGATGTTGGCATTGTTAAGGTTGATGGTATGAGGAACTAATACATCATCGATTTCATCTTACCGCCGTTCAAGTTATGTCAGAATTTTAAGGCAGGAGATATCTGACATCAGGGGTGAAACTTTTTCGTTCGTGTTCATGATGATAATATGACTAGAGGATCGTATATTGTCTAGATCATTCAGCCAATCTCCTTGATTATCATTGATCAATTATATTCGCCGCGAGGCCTTGAGCACTGTCTAGACCAAGGTCTGGATTCTTTCTTTACTTTACGGCGAAGGGTCAAGTTGAATAAGACTAATCGGACGTTTCCCATTGTCCTCCTTTAACTATACTGGGTTCATTATTGAAGATTTATTTTCATCCATCAAGTTTTCGAGCGTTTTCATTGACAGGTTTTCAACTTGTTTCTAATCTGAAGCTATGAAAATAGCGAAACTGTTCTATGGAAGAATTCCAGGCAAGAAGTCGGTGCTCGCTTCAGCTTCTTCTCCAACAACCCGCGTTCCAATCAGAGTAACTCCTTGCTAGTAGAAATGCTCGGCAGCCACATGGAAAGGCATCGACACGGGAAAAGGGGTTTCGCTGAGGTAAATTTCCATATTCTATCCTCTTTAAAATTGGATTTTAACGCGGTCGTCACACTTTCGGGAACGTTTTGTGTCTCTGGCTTTCATTAAAGTTGCTATCACAGAGGCCGCACCGGCAGCTAAGGCGTTTTGTGCAATGAGATTTTGAGTTACTTCAGCAACACAAATTACTATAGCTTGCGAATTCCAACCGCTAATTTGTGTAATCGCTTTCTTGGTTTCTAAGAGGTTAACTCGCACAATAACTCTCAACTTTGGGAAGGTTGTCTTAGCCGCACACACAATGGCCTCCACTTCATTCTCAGCTTTCCGAATATTTGAGTTGTACGCATCAGAGACGCAAATCAATACATCGCAGGAGCGAGATTATTTCCGAAGACCTAAGAGTTTATGAAGGCGAGATCGGTTAAGTGGGGAGCCCATGCAGTAGGAAACACACCAATATTCTTCCATTAGATCACGAAGTTCCCTGTTGGGCTGGTCTTCACCCAGCAGGATGATTTCGACGGCGAAATTTTGACGATCCGGGTGCAAGAAGTCATCGAGAAATGATTTTATCATCGTTATGGAAGGGTTACCACATAACACGACTCTTGGAAGCTCACAAGCAAATTATAAACTGCTTCCAGAACTCCAAAAACGCGTCACTGAGTCCAAAAACCAATAAATTATTCGTTCAGAAGAGGCAGCAAATATCGGAATACAAATAAGTATGGTCCAAATGATAACTGTTCTTCCAAGGGTCGTTGTTGGCAAGATGTCACCATACCCAACCGTTGATAGAGTTACTGTGGCAAAATAAATGTACTCGCCGAAATTTTTTATCGTCACAAGGCTGCCTTCGATATTCTAATGAAGACCGCTGCCTGAAGTCCACTCCTCGGCTGTGTGGAGTAAGCCTGCGACGAGGCAGAGGCTGGCGATGCCTTGAATGTAGAGTAGAACCACTTCGCTCCCTGAGCGAAAATGAAGTCTTCTTGAAACGTAGCGAACGGTCTCGACGAACGAAGACTGTAAGAAACGATGAAACACCAGAAATTAGAATCCGTAGAAATATTTCTTCTGAATCAGAGACGTGAGCGATTGCTTGAAGAGCCAAGTGTCAAGAATGGTGTCGAACAGAAGAGGGCTGTAATTATTCGAGATGAACGTCAAAAAAATTCTCACAAAGAACTTTGCGTTGACGACGAACAGAAGCCATTCTTCCAAGTAGTGACCGGAAAAAGGTTGGGCAGTCCAGTCAGCGCAGTTTAGCAGTGTAATGTTTCTATTAGTTCAGGTTCAAACGGACGAGTTTATTGATTCATTGACGGTAACTTCCAATTGGGTGTTTGGGTCATTAGGCTTGGTCCAAGTTCAAAATTTTATTAAAGTAGAACAGTAGAACAGCAGAACAGAGCAGAGGAGGGAAGTTCTCCTACAAATAAACACGCATTTCATTAAATTAATTAAACACTAATAACTAGATAAGTACACGATATTCTGAACATATTTTCACAGTTATTCTATTACAAATTATAGAACCTAGAGGCTTACCAAGAGCAAGAACACAAGTGGCTGTTTTCAGTAAGGATCAACGAATGGCCAAACCGTTACAAGTCCGTCCAATACTTTGGTCGATGTTGCCAGAACATCTGCTTTAAAATTTCTAGAACTAAAAATCATTACATATACCTTCCCCCTTAAATCTATAATTTAATTTGAACAAATTATCCAAAATTATTTCCAAGCCCTCGCTTCTTCCTCACCATCAGGCAAATGAACACTCCTACGGATCTGCGACGTAAACTGATTGTCAATCAATATATTTGTTAACTTCGGAGACGTTCTTGTTCATGAATTGAGTTTTACGTGCCAGAGCACGCGCGGAATCACCAGGTATATGATTCCGAGCCAGAATTTACACAGTAAATTCATGAGTTATTGCTCTACTACAGCAAATAATGTTAGAGGCATAAAAATGTACCCACCAGAAATGAGTACAACATTAAAGACAGGTACAATATCAATGATGATTTAACATAAAAAATGGGTTTAACACCAGAGATTGGTACATCAACGATAGGTATAACATCAAAAATTAAACATCAAGAATATATGTAACATCAACGATATGTACAACGTCAAGGAATGATGTAACATCAGAAGATAGATACAGCATAAGGGATAGTTGCATAATCTACAAAAGGTATATCAGGAATAAGTAAATCAATAAAGATATAGGTACAACATCAACGAAAGGTTCAACATCAAAAATAGCTACATCAAGTTCACGATCCGAAGCAATACTCATCAACTTAATAGCGGTCACAACTTGTGTGTAAATTACAAATTTTAGATATTGCGATAAAATTGCTCGCTATTATCACGAATATAATTGAGAAAGATAATAACTTTTGTTAGGGTTTTTAATTGTTTACTAATTATAATATACAACCACACTGAAATTATTCGTTCACTGTTAGAAAAAACGGTGAAAAAACGGTCCCGCTGGCGTTCTAGTGGCCGGTCGCCCCGTGAAAATAAACTGTTTCGCCGTTTTTATCAGAAGTTTTACGGATTTCTAGTGTTAAATTAGAATAAAAATGGCGACACGGTGTTTCTTTTCACGTTCCGACCGGCCACTGAAACGCCGGTAATACCGTTAACGGTAATTTTTCTAACAGTGCAATAAGACTTTTTTGAGTCTAAGATAAAATGTCCGTGAGAAGAAGCGTCTCGTTAAATTGATGTGTTATTGATGTTTCTTTGAAAGCCATGGCAAATTCACATGAATATTTTATTTACTAAATTAAAAATTGTCTAAACATGCATGGAGGATTGGCAGAACTTGTACCGATGATTAGTCGCGGCATTGGTCAAACGTTATAATTCGCGTTCACGGTAAACAGATATTTTAACTGTTAACAAAAACTATTTTGCTTACTATGTAAAAGTTAAATGGGTATGAGAACACAACGCGAGCGATAAAATTTCGATTTATAGCAGAGAAATACTATAATAAACTGCAATTTCGTTTTATTGCTGATGGGGAGGACTTATTTTATTGTTGAAATTGAAATTTCTTGTTGAATTTTATTGTTGGGGTTTTATTGTTGAAGGGGACTTAGATTGTATAACACGGAGAAGATGCGGGAATGTTGTAATAATTTTACTGAGGATCTATAGAATATTAATTGCGTCAGTCCAAGAAAATGGTGAGTTTGATGGTGATTGCGTCAGCGTAAACATAATTAGCAATATCAAGATCGTTGTGCGAGAAGCCCAGCCCCACACAGATCTGGTTGTCCCCCGTGGTTGGTCGCTGCCAGTGCAGGCCGGAGCAGAGTTCGGTGGGGTGCCACACCCTGCCCGTGATGTCGTCGGGGTTGCGGCTGTGGTCCAGCACAGCGATGCGCAGCGGCAGAGTGAACGGCCACTCCAGACTGGCGTCGAACTCACCTGGACAACATAGATAACGGAAGTAAGTTTAGAAATTCGAATGGCAAGGGAAGTTAGAAATCCTGAACAGGATATAAAAATTTTTAAAGAAAGTAAAGCTTGAAAATTTGGAACGTGAATTAGAGCTATCAGATAGAAGAAACGGTCATCTGGGCCACATAGAGAATGGAAATAAGCTTAGAAATTCGAAAGGGAAGTGAAGTTAAAAATCTTAAACAGGAAATAATGTTAAAAATTTGGAAAGAAAGGAAAGCTTGAAAATTTGGAACGGGAATTAGAGCTATCAGATAGAAGAAATGGTCACCTGGGCCACGTAGAGAACGGAAGTAAGCGTAGAAATTCGAATGGCAAGGGAAGTTAGAAATTCGGAACGGGAAATAAGATTAGATACTTGGAACGAAAGTAAATTTTGAAAATTAGGAACGGGAAGTGGGGGTATCAGATAGAAGAAGCTGATCATTAAGGCAAATAAGAATCGAAGTGTGGAGAATAGTTGAGTGAGAAGACACTTGGAAAGATTTGTAAATACATATAATGACAACTGAATATGAAGGGAAGAAAAGTAATTTTAGGATGAAAGACCTTTACATTTTGGACACAGAAACTAAGTATTCAATTGAATAAATATTGAACATGGTTATTATTGAATTTGATGAGCTAAAAATTCTAAACAATTAAACTTCATAGTTAAAAATCAAATGAAATAGATCGTAGGGACCATAAAACAAAGTTATGCAAATAATACTTCTTCCATCCATGAAACGAATAAAATGCAACATCAGAATTAATCCCAATTAATAAACAATAACCTTTAGTGAGGGCGACATGGACGTAGATGTTCTCGCCATTGTTGTTGGGGTAGATTTTCATGAACATCTTGTAGCCGAACTTGAAGATGTAGAAGTCGGGCGACCGCAACGACCGACGCCAACCCCAGTTGTTCATGCGGTACCTGAGAACCACGCTATCTACATGAGGGGAACTACGGCGCACACGATCTACCAGACACGATCTACCATACTACCTTTCCACCGCGCACACATACGTACCTCCAGATGCACTGTCTACCAATATTATCTCTGTTCGTAACTTTAAGGCAAACAGTTATTCGATACTATGCAAATTCTCTCTTGCAGATGTAATGTGCAAGACACTCACCCTATCATAGCGTTTTGTTATCCAGAAAATTTTCGACTGAGAAATTGTATTTTTTTGCGGACTTTTTCCTGTTCTCGTTCTTCGGAAATTTCTGCAAGCTGTTGGTGGGCTTTTCAGGCAAAAAATTTGTGAACTCAGATTCCGGTTTGTGATTTAGTCCAGCTACTCCTAAATTGTGTCTACTTATAATTCATTAGTTCCACTCACAGAAGCAATAACCCAACGTATAATTATTCACTGCATCGCCATACCTTATGTCTTCCACCTTCCAGTAGTAGGTGAAGACTCGCTGCGAATCTTCGATGTGTATCGATGAGTTGTACTTCGATACCTCGGGAGCTCTGGGACTTGCCTGATTGCAAGGCAAAAAGAGCCTAATATCAGAAATGTCTGATTCATTTTCACCTAATTTTGTTTGTTGAGAATGAATTTGCAGTGAATCAAAATGCAATTACGATTCATTGTATGAATTAATATTAGTTCGAATATATTAAGCGATAGCTGATTGCTTATCATCTCAATGACTACTATTATAGATCCAATTTTGACAGTTTCTAAAAATGGAGCTCACTATGAATGAGATTCTTAAAAGTAAACATTTGTACACATATCTTGATTGCATTTTCCAAATTTCTGCAGAATTTAGAAATCGTATTTGAAAGTAATGTGCAATACCCGTAGACTTTCACACCGGCCGATCATGCTCTTTGGCCATACGTATAATATACATAATACATGTATACGTTATGTGCAAGTTTGATTGAAGACCAGAGCACGCTTTTTATTAACAATCTCTTAATTTTTAAAATTGAAGCTTTTATACGTAAGTCTCTACGACTGATTTCAACATTAGAGACGAGTACTAGCAAATACAAGATTGTTATCTAAAAAGGAAATTCGTTTCTTAAAAAGTAAAATATTAACTCATAATTTCGTATAAGATTAAGCCAACCTTTAATTCGTCCAGGTCATCGTTGTAGAAGTCAGCAAAGTCTTGCTCGGAGCTGATCTGGTTGCCTTCTCGTCCTTCGTTTTCAGCGAAGTCAGGGGTATTTAAATGCGGCCTAAAGGGAGGACCAAATAAAAATCTATCTGAATATAAGAACATTAAAAACTGAATTAAACTTTATAAAAAGAAAACTTACCGAACTCAACTAATTAGAGACGACTTTAGAGGCTTTATTAATCTCAGGGTCTAAAATCTAAATAATACAGTTCACTCTTGAAGTAATTTATGGAAATATTTTAGATTTTTAAAACGAGGTTATTCAGTCATTTTACACCGAAGAGGATAAATTAGCAAGTTTTGCTTCCAACGGTACATGCATAAATGCAATAAAAACAATATATTCGATTGTGCTCTGTATAGAAGCTAAGTAAAAAGGATTTAATAGTTTCGGCTGAAAATTCACACGAATCATTATTTGTGAGTGAATATCCTGTGCATTATTCCATTCTAGCTTGTCCGATGAACAGTGATTAAATTGAATTGAATCTGTTCTAAAACACTCATGAGAGCAGAGGTGAAATCATTCACCATTCACCCTCTTCAACAAGATACGAGTATTGTTACTCGTTTCCTCATAATGGTTACGGCGTAATTCAAATAATGTCTAAATTATTTACCTATCCAAGTGTTCTTGCATCCTGCGCCGTCTCGCTGGCGGATTGTCTATAAGGTCTCTGAAAAACACAGGGTTCGTGGGATGAGAAGGAGAGGCATGCGTTGTTAATGAAATGCAAATACATATTTATTTAAGTTGGGTTAATCAACCGTAAAATCAAACTAAGAAAAAAACACCAATTTTTCGTCGTTGCTTTTCTGCGTAACAAATCGAATCGTCTCGTCAGTAGAGACTGGAAACCGTGGAAACCGTAATAGCATTGTGTTCCCTTCTGAAATACACCCGACAGGATATCAACGAGAAAACATCGTGCAGATCAATTACGACTCCTTACCCCGCCTTCCTGGCAGACGCGATGGCTCGGTGCAGCCCCCGGTGCTGGCGCTTGACCTGCTGGTCCTGATCGCGCAGCTTCGTCTCGAGATCGAGCACCATCGCCTTCAGCACGTTGAACTGCTCCCCCACCCGCGTCTCCAGCAGGATCAGTCGCTCGTCCAGCTCCCCTGACCATCCAAGCCATGGTTTTCTATAGGATCTTAGGCTTGAAAACTGATTAAAATTTATTTCTGCGTTACAAGCTTCCCTGACAATTCAAGCCATAGTTTTATATAGGATCTTTGGCTTGAAAACTGGTTAAAATTTATTTCTGCGTTACAAGCTATCCTGACCACTCAAGCCATGGTTCTCTATGGGATCTTTGGCTTGAAAACTGATTAAAATTTATTTCTGCGTTACAAGCTTCCCTGACCATTCAAGCCATGGTTTTCTATGGGATATTTGGCTTGAATACTGATTAAAATTTATTTCTGCGTTACAAGCTTCCCTGACAATTCAAGCCATAGTTTTATATAGGATCTCTGGCTTGAAAACTGGTTAAAATTTATTTCTGCGTTGCAAGCTTCCCTGACCATTCAAGCCATGGTTTTCTATAGGATCTTTGGCTTGAATACTGATTAAAATTTATTTCTGCTTTACAAGCTTCCCTGACCGTTCAGTTGATTATTTAATTCAGGGTTTTTTCATATAGTTTATTGATTAAAAAAATAATCTTAAGTTGTGCGGAACATCCAGTGAGTAGTTTTAATTTTCCGTGGCATTGTAAGACATATTTTTTGAATTAACGTTGAAAATTTCTCCGGTCATTTCTGTTTCATTGAGTTCCTCTGATACTAAGTCAATTAATAAAAGTGTACGAGATTCAAAGGATATTTTGTAAACCAACACTGGAAAAAATAATGCCTGATTACTAACTGAATCCTATAGCTACCATAGACATCCTAATTTTAATTTTTTTTAACATCCTAATTTTAGTAATTTGAAGGTATTTTTATCAAACAAAGATCATCTTTCCTCGGTCAGAAAATGAAGAGCAACTTTATGAAGTGTTCTTCGAATCATCAGGTATTATTTAAAATAAGTGATAGTAACTGACGTTCACCCGGATTGCTATGTAGAAAGTTTGATGAGAGTATAATTTCTGAAATGAATTTCATTACAGTCATTCATCGTCCGATTATCCTTCGTATAGCATAGTAATATCCATTCTCTACTTTATTATCCTCGCAGAAATTCAATTGCGCTTACTTTACATTAGGCTATCTTGAAAATATAATTGCACCCACTCCACACTGATTTAGTCTGTAGAAAGTTCAATCGGTGCAACCTTTAAATTCAATTGGTCCAGACCTTTTATTCAATGCATTCAATGGGACTGCCCTTCCGATTCAATGCATTCAGTGGGAATGCCCTTCCGATTCAATGCATTCAGTGGGACTGCCCTTCCGATTCAATGCATTCAGTGGGAATGCCCTTCCGATTCAATGCATTCAGTGGGACTGCCCCTCCGATTCAATGCGTTCAGTGGGACTGCCCCTCCGATTCAATGCGTTCAGTGGGACTGTCCCTCCGATTCAATGCATTCAGTGGGACTGCCCCTCCGATTCAATGCATTCAATGGGACTGTTCCTCCGATTCAATGCATACAGTGGGACTGTCTCTCCGGCTCAATGCATTCAGTGGGACTGACACTCCTATTCAATGCATTCAATATGACTGCCCCTCCGATTCAATGCATTCAGTGGGACTGCCCCTCCGATTCAATGCATTCAGTGGGACTGCCCCTCCGATTCAATGCATTCAATGGGACTGCCCTTCCGACTCAATGCATTCAGTGGGAATGCCCCTCCGATTCAATGCATTCAGTGGGACTGACCCTCCGATTCAATGCATTCAGTGGGACTGACCTTCCGATTCAATGCATTCAGTGGGACTGCCCCTCCGATTCAATGCTTTCAGTGGGACTGACCCTCCGATTCAATGCTTTCAGTGGGACTGTCCCTCCGATTTAATGCATTCAGTGGGACTGCCCCTCCGATTCAATACGTTCAGTGGGACTGCCCCTCCGATTCAATGCGTTCAGTGGGACTGCCCTTCCGATTCAATGCATTCAGTGGGACTAGCTGAATAATGCAGGGACGAAGACGGCTTTATTTTATTTTTTTTTGTAGGAATGCGTCCCTAGCAAAGCAACTGTTGAAAACTAAAATCAAGATGAGTACTAATAAAAGTTGAACAGTCTAGTATTCGGAAAAAAGTTAATATACACGTAGATTTCATCCACGTGTCAGACTTGCCTTTGACTTTAGAAATTTATCAGTTCAAATGGTCGCAAACTCACTAGAACAAATTTTAAGATTAAGGCGGCAGCTCGCTGTGAATGCAAAGAAAAGCTACCGGGCGAGATGCGCATAAACTCTTTGATGTTCTGAGGTACGAGTTGTGTTGTCGAAATACCGAGACATCAAAGCGGCTGTACGTCACTTCTCTGAAGAGCGCAAATTGGATGAAATTGTCATTATTTAGTAAAAGCAACATGGTTACATAGACAAAATGTGGAGAAACTCTTTAGAAACAATCATTAAATAACACTATGCTGAGTAACCAACTTCGGCCGGCTTCAGGTCAAGGAAACATTTTGTTTTGCTTCTCCTAATAATGTTGTGAGTTTTTTTTATTTATTTATTCTCCACTCCACGATTACTCAGTACTAAACTCTAGTGATCCATCTAGCAGATTTTTTCATTGTCACTCACATGATGAACTCATCGACTCACATATTATAAAAAAGCACGACTCACCCATTTGATGAAGCATGGTCTGGAACCCGTCATTGCTTCTGTTTCGTGACTGAGCATCTGTTACGCTTGCCAACAGTAACAGCAACAGCAGCGGCTCTAACAGACCCCGGCAGAACCTGAAGCCTGGTGTCAGCATCGCGCTTAAGTCAAAGTTTACTGATAAAGCAGGAGAAATTTATTTCGAAATATTTGTTAATGAACACTATGCCTGGTAAAACTTTAAGCGGCTTCTGAAAGAAAAAATTCCATTGATCAGTTAAAGGACAGCTGTGCAGCACTGAATGATCAGTTACAGGACAGCTGTGCAGCACTGAATGATCAGTTACAGGACAGCTGTNAACTTAATGTAAGGAATCCTATCTACATAACTTAATGTAAAGAATCCTACCTACACAATTTAACCGCACAACTGAAGCCTGCAGTCAGACACCGCGAGCTCAGCGGTGGGGCGCTCAGGAAAATTATTAAATGAAGAAATAAATGATTTTGCATCCGTTCTATATGGGTGTTATCTCATGTTAATCGATTCAGTTTTAAAATTCGTAAAATACGTATACATATCTTTGTTTATTTTTAACATGAAGTCAATAAAATTCAACTGGTCATAGTCCAGAATAAAATGTTTATTTTTGGACCTGGAAATTGAATATCGGTGCATTGCAGTATGTATTAATTTTATACTGGATCAGATATTATTGAAACAGATTTGATATGGTCACAAGAAATTAAGAAAATACGCACACATCCTTTGGATATGAAATGACTGCAAAATGTATTTGTATCCATTTTCTATTACAGGATTGTTGGTCACGGCGATGAAATTAGAGGCAAAACACGGACCCATACATTACATTATTATTCTAAGAAGCAGTTATAGTGGCGTTGGTTTAAGCGAGCTTCGGAGGCACGCTACACATAGATTTAATAGCAAGCGAAAAATAAATAGACATGAGGAAGGATGAGAACAGATAAAAACGACCAAGCACTTGTTTCATAGACTAAACGAAATAGTTCCGACTTTAGGTGTCGACGAAACACTTGCCACTAAGAAACCGATTTTTCAATGATTATAAATAATTTATTTAAAACTGTTACAATTTTCGATCCTGTCGTCCCCAACGAACGTTGCCACCCGGGGGAGCGACGTACAAGCTACTGACATTTCTGGCCCGTCTTGTGCGAGCGTTGTGCGTAGCACTGCAGCGTAGCAACTAATCTCTGAACTCAATAGCATGTCGATAAAAACGATTTTATTATTTTAAAATTATATGGCCTATTTCAAAATTTTACTGTCAGGTAATATTATGAATTCGAATAAAAATAAAGGAGTAACGAAGAAATGGGTTGGTACCGATGAAGTTCATGATCAGTTGTTGTATGCAAAATGAGTTTGAACATGCGTCACTACACACAAACTGTTCAATTTACGCTCCGTAAAACAGATTTGAGTATTACAAGATAAATTCTACATTTTAATTTTGTTTAATTAATTTAACTAACTAAAAACAAGCCACATGAATCGATTAAGATCTCATGAGATTTAGCTCAAAGTAATAAAAAAAACTGCGCCATAAGTGTTTTTTCTGAGACATTTACGTGACTTTATTTCAGTAAAATGTATGCCCTTGCAACACAGGTGCTGCGGCGGTTCCCATTGATGTCAGATGGCGGCGCCAAGACCTGTCTTGTTAGCGCGGAAATAATAGCTGCTTCAGGCTCCTCCTAATTTCAACTAATGAGGGCAACTTTACTCATGCCGCACCTCTAACCTTTACTCATGCCGAGTGTTTCTTTACCCAAGCCGAGTCTCCAACCCGCTTAGAAAAAAATAAGGGGCAATGCACCATGGGATGAATCGCAGTTGTTGCGTGAGCGCTCGCTGGTTTCAGAAGGTCCCCAGGTACGAATGCAAAAGAAGATTTACGCAGCATTGAAAGATCGCGTTGTTTGATATACGCATCTCTTCTAAAAATAAGTGCGATAAGAATTTCATTCAATGAGGCGATGAAGAAAGAAACGACATGCGTGCCATAACTGCCATTTACCATTAAAGATGAGACTGGAACATCTTTTCAATAGCTATGTATTTCAGGAAACTTTGACAGAATTTATTCTTTCTCCTCTTTAGATAGTACTATCATGTCATATCATATCATAGTGTTGTCAGCGCTGAAGAATAGGCCTGCTGTGGCCTGTCGCCGATTCTTGTACTTTTCGTGACTAGTCCAGAGATCTTAAAACATGTCTTTGACCGAATCTTTCAAAACTGACGATAGTTTGAAATAGCAACTAGACTTCTACCAGGTTCGATATGGTGCTAGGCATTTCAAGTCTGAGCATATATTTCTCCATAGTCAGTCCTTGAA